GATGACAAAGCTGTTTGGGGAAATAAATGACTTTTTCCCTTTTTTTTCTTTTTCTTTTCTTTTCTTTTTTAAATTCAAGGGCTAGGTTTTTCTAACTGGAATGGTCTCCTAAAAGGGGAATATATTAATTCATAGTCATCTGTCAATTATCAGTTCTGACCATAAAAGCTATTGTTCTGTTGCTGCTAGACAGAAAGGCATTGGAGGGTTCACAGATACCCTTCAAATAAGACCTTCTCAAATTTATTTGAGAAGTGATCCAGGAAACACTGGTAGGAGGGGAAATCAGGGAAGGGATGTTAGCCCCAAAAGAATCATTACCAAACAAGTTACCATCGTGGCTAACTGGAGCTTAATCCCATGGAGAACTTAGGAAATAGAGAATTACACAATTCTACCTGAGAAATAAGGGAACTGGGCTATTTATAAGACAAGTTCCATTAGTCATTGGTTGAGGACTGTTCTTGTGTTACATTATTTGTATGCCCATATTCAAAAAAATGGACCTTACTCCCTATCTCATCCCACACCAACAACGTAATGCAAGAAAACCATATGCCTAGATGTAAAAGCTAGAACCATAAAATTTCTAGAAGCAAACATAAGAGAATATGTTCTCAACTTTAAGGTAAGCACAGTTTTCTTAGGGAGGGCATAAAATGCACTTTAAAAAAGCACCTTAGCCGGGCTCGGTGGCTCAGCCTGTAATCCCACACCTTGGGAGGCTGAGGTGAGTGAACTGCCTGAGCCCGTGGGTTCGAGACCCGCCTGGGCAACTTGGTGAGACCTCATCTCTACAATAAATCAAAAAATTAGCCGGGTGTGGTAGCGCGCGCCTGTAGTTCCAGGTACGTGGAAGGCTGAGGCGGAAGGATCTCCGGTGCCCAGCAGGTCAAGGCTGCAGTGGCCGGGAGCAGCCACTGTACTCCAGTCTGGGCGACAGAGTGAGACTCCAACTCAAAAAAAAAACCACTTCATCAAAATTAAATATATCTGCTCTTTGAAAGACATTAAGAAAATGAAAAGGCAAGTCCCAGAATGGGAAAATATCTTCATTACAGATATCTGACTATGGACTGGTATCTAGAATATATAAAGAACTCCTACAAGTCAATAACGACAAGATGTCTGAACAGAAACTTCATACATAAGATATACAAATAGCTAATAAGCCAAATGAAATGAGCTCAACATCATTCATCATCAGGGAAACACAGATTAAAATCACAATGAGAAACAACTACACACCCACTAGCATGACAAAAATTAAAGACTTGGCAATGCAAATGTCAGCAAGATGTGGAGCAACCAGAACACTCATATTTTGCTGGTGGGGGCATAGGTGGAATGCAAAATGTACAACCACTGTGGAGAACTTTTTGGAAGTTTTTAAATAAAGTTAAACATATATCTTCTAGGACCCAGAAGTTCTACATCTGGGTATTTATTGAAGATAAATGACAGAAAATATCTACAAAAAGACTTGTACAAAAATGTACATGACAGCTTTAAGCAAAAACAACAACAAAAAACTAGAACACATCACACCTGCACCTCCAGCACTCTGGGAAGCTAAGATGAGACAATTGCTTGAGGCCAGGAGTTCGAGACCAGCCTGAGCAACATAGCAAGAGCCCATCTCTACATTTTTTAAAAAAATTAGCCAGGTGGGGTGATGTGTGCCTGTAGTCCCAGCTACTTGACAGGATGAAGTGGGAGGATCACTCGAGCCTAGGAGTTCAAGGCTATAGTGAGATACGATTGCAACACTACACTCCAGTCTGAGTGGCAGAGTGAGACCCTATCTCAAAAAAACAAAATAAAAACTAGAAAACCATCCAGGTGTCCACCAACAGCTGCAGAACAAACTAATTGTGAAATTGCCATATAATAGAATCCTACTTAGCACTAAGAAGGAATGAACTACTGATAATGTGCAACAACATGAATGGAGCTGAAAAACAAAGTTACACTGAGCAAAAGAAGCATAGACAAAAGAGTGTATTCTTTATGGTTTCATGTATACAAAGTCTTGGAACAGGAAAGCTGAGGTCTGGTGATAAAGAATCAGACCAGTGGTCACCTTTGCGGGATGAGATTATGGAAAGGAGGCATTCTACAAGGGAACGCTGGGGGTTTTGGAAATGATCTATATTTTGGTTTGGGTGGTAGTTACATGAGTGTATATAGGCGTCAAACCTCACCTAATTGAACATGTGAAATCTGAAATCTGTGCTTTTTATTGTATGAGATTATATCTTAATAAAGATGATAGTTTTGGTCAGCCATGATAGCTCACGCCTATGATCCCAGAACTTTTGGAAGGCTGAGACAGGAGGATTGCTTGAGCTTAGGAGTTCAAGACCAGCCTGGGCAACATAGCGAGATCTTGTCTCTATAAAATATCAAAAAATTATCCGGGTGTGGTGGCACGTACCTGTAGTCCCAGCTACTCAGGAGGCTGAAGCAGGAGGATCATTTGAGCCTAGGAGTTTGAGGCTGCAGTGAGCTGTGACGGTGTCACTGCACTCCAGTCTGGGCAACAGAGTGAGACTCTGACTAAAAAAAAAAACATGATAGCTTTATCCTTAAAAAGTACAACACAATGACCATTACAACTATGAACTAATTTGCTCAGGGCTCTGTCCTCCACTAGACTGGGAGCTTCAGGAGGGGAGAAGCCCTGTCTGTTTTGTTCTTTGCCATATCCCTAGCACCTAGCACAGCACCTGGGACCTTTTGAGTGCTTAAGTCACATTTGTTAATATTATAAGTGTGTAAGGGCCGCTGTGCATTGAGCTGTATCTTTATCATATCTTCCTTTGCAGACATGACCTGTTCTTGGCAGACACTGGTGGCCCCAGAAGCTTCAGCACAGGTGCATTGTCTAGGAAGGGAGCTTGCAGGTGGGAAACCAGCAGGGCCCTGGGTGTCCTTGGGCACTGACAGGGTCCCAACTGTGAGCACCATCTGCTCCTGTGAAGGGTGTCTGACAGCAGCCGCAGCCCTGGACCTGGAAGGTGAATGCCTCTGAGACCCAATGTCAGGCTCCCGTTCCCATCTTCCCTGCCTGGAGGGAGCCCAGGGAGACCACGGAAAGTCACTTTAACCCTGGAAATAGAAAACACCAACATATGTACTGCTTTGTAGTTTACCAAGTGTTTTCCCATATATATTCTTGTTTAGTCTTTTCACTGACCCTGAAAGGTAGTTGTTTAATAACTCTGTTTTAAGTGATCTCCCCAAGGTCACACAGCTGGCAAGTTCAGACCTGGGATTCAAACCAAGTTTTTAACCATTGACTACTGTATTAAATGCAGCTCTGCTGTGTCATTTAGGGACCTTCAGAAGCCCGTTCTGAAATCTGTCCTCTTCAGAAAGCTTTACAGGACTACTGGAAAGATTAATGACAAATCCCCCTTGCCTTTAATCCAATTTATCCCATACGGTCCTGAGGGTTTAACCTGCCTGGACCACCACTATGAGACTCACTCCCCTGTGCAAATTTTTCACAGTCCCCACCACCTGCCAAGTAGAATCCACACTCCTTAGCTGCTGTTCAGTGCTCTTTGCCCCAACTCGCCTTGTAGCCTCATCTTTCTTAAAAAACGACTTTGTATATTCTTGCTGATTATGTCAATATCCTCATTTCTGCAACTTTGCTCCTCAGCTTTTCCTTCATATGGAATACCAGTTTCCTCCATCTCCCCCTGGGAAATTTCTTCTCAGCCTTCAAGTCCTAACTCGAATTCCACTGTCGCTCCCTGTTGGTAGATTTGTACTTCACTGGAAGCCTTGGAGCACATGGTTTGTACCTTCCCTGAAGTAGCAAGGGTATATTTGCACCTTGCCTTGTTTTCCTTACGAGACCCAGAGCTTCCAGAAGGTTTGATGCATGCCCTACTCATTTCTGTAACCTTGATGGTAACTAGCATAGTTGTCTGCACACTATAGTTATTTAACAGATTCTTTAAACAGTGAATCAATTGCCACCTCTCCAACCATTCTCTATGTATTTAATACCCTTTGGTATGCATAGTTTTATAAATGGTTGGCATTTTAATTCCATTTTATGTGTTTGGTTGACATAGCCTCCACCCGCTGTATACTTTGCTTCTGACTTCACGCTGCCTGTGTGCATACCTACATTCTTTGCAAGTAGGATTGGCATATGAAGAGACTGTGGAGTCCACAGTTCCATTATACTGTGGCTCTGCCATTCATCCGCTGTGAATCTTGGACATATCACGTCTACTCTCTGGACTTTATCTTACCTCCATCTATGAAATGGGGGTAATAACACCTGCTTTGCTTCTTTAATTCACCACAAGGTTGTTGGGAGCATAAATGAAATAACAGATGTGGAAGTGCTTTGCCGACTATAAATCACCTAGAAATGTCGTTTAGTTGCATCTGCTGTTGGCTTGAGGCTCATCCTTTGTTGCAGGCAGCCCCTCACCCATCTGCTCTTCTCTTTTGGTGAAAAACGGACTATCTAGAGGGGGTATATCCAGGGAGCTGCAGAATGGATGATGAGGAAGTAAATACGTTTCCTAGATAGGGTGTGGAGCGGGGGCTGTGCTGTGGTGGGTTGGGGACGTTGTCATCTGCAAGGCTGCTGTGAGGAAGGAAGACACCCTTGTCCAGGTAGCCTCTGAGAGCGGGCCTCGACCCCCGTGTGGAAGTTACAAGGCCTCGGCCAGTTGGGGAAATTTCTGAGCCAGGGCTGCAGGATGATGACATGGGCTGCCCAGGGAGGGTAGCGCCCTCATGCTGCAGAGTTGAGATCAACTCCCACTTAGAGGCGTCACAACCCCACTCCAACGGAGAAGTGACGACCTCTGCCTGAGGCGGAAGGCCAAGAGCGATCCCAGCGCTCCAGGCGCCTCCTGCAGGAGTCTTCTGGGGCTGCCTATTGGCTTCCGCTGAGAAGGAGGATGGGCCTTGGGCCGCTCCGCTTCCTGATTGGTTAGCTGCGTGGCTTGCAGGTTCCACGGCTGCGCACGCGTGGAGGCCAGACATGGCGGAGGCGGGAAAAGTGTCCACGGGCCTCGGGCTTCCTGCAGGAGAAGCGGAGCAGTGGCCTCTGCAGCGCTATGCCCGCTACATGCCCTCGAGCACTGGAGAGCCGCCTGGGCCTGGTGTGGCAGCTGGGACAGCCACGGCCTCCACATGGAAGGTGAGGCCTGAAGGCCGGAATAGCCCCGAGGCGCTCACACCCCAGGGGTAGAGGCAGGGAAGACCGCGGCCACATGGGGCGCAGATGCTATGGGGACAGAAGGCGGGACACTGAGGGGCTGCCAGGAAGGTCGAGGAATGGACAGGCCAACCGCTAACGTGGGAAATATACATATAGTGATAGCAGACATTATGGGAACCCGTTACTGTACGTTTACAAAATAATTTTGCAAGGGAGTAGTAAACATTTATATGTTCACCACATATTTATTTATTTTATTGTATTTTAATGTTTTTGGAGACTAGGTCATGCTGTGTCACCCAGGCTGGCATTCAGTGGCGCCATCATAGCTCACTGCAGCCCTGAAGTCCTGGGCTCCAGCAATCCTCTTGCCTCAAATCACTGAGTAGCTGGGACACAGGCCAAGCACCACCATGCCTAGCAATTTTTAAAAAATTTTTGTAGAGATGAGAGTCTTGCTATGTTGCTCAGGCTGGTCTTGAGCTCCTGGCCTCAGGCCATCCTCCCAGCTCAGCCTTCCAGAGTGTTGGGATTATAGGCATGAGCCACCACAGCCTCCTGGCTTTACAAATATTTATTGAGCATCAAGTATATGTTAGATCTATTCAGGGTGCTAGGGATATAGCAGTTAGCAAGTTACAAACAGTCCCCACCCCCACTGATATCTTTAGTGTAGTGGAGGACAGAATATTATTCAAATAACTGTGTAATTATGAGAGGGACTTTTGAGTCTTCCATAACCAAGTTGTCATACTCTGGCAGTCAGACACTCACACAGAACTAAATTTGAATCCTAGCTTTGCTGCTGAATTTCTGAGACCTTGGTTTTGTTACTTAACCTCGCTGTACCTTATTTGCTTTGTCTTAAAATAGAGAAAATTTGTAGTACAGGCATACATCAGAGATATTGGAGTTCACTTGCAAACCATTACAATAAAGCAAGTCATGGATTTTTTGGTTTCCCAGTGCATATAAAAGGTATCTTTGTATTATAATCTATTAACTATAGTAAAAGCATTATGCCTTAAGAGAGCAATGCCCAGCCGGGCTCGGTGGCTCAGCCTATAATCCCGCGCCTTGGGAGGTTGAGGTGAGTGAATTGCCTGAGCCTGCGGGTTTGAGACCCGCCTAGACAACTTGGTGAGACCTCGTCTCTACAATAAATAAAAAATTAGCCAGGCATGGTAGCACACGCCTGTAGTTCCGGCTACTTGGAAGGCTGAGGCG